AAAAAAAGGATTTCTGGGACAAGTCTGGGAAACCGTGATTTAAACAATTTCCACCTGGTTTCTTGACAGCACATCTTCTCAGAATCCTTGATCTGCCAGTGTACATTCTAGAAGAAGATACGGCTGTTTCCAAAACTATTTGCCCCTGCAGCCTTTTTTCCATGGAGAGTCTCATGGGACAGGGCTTCTTGAAGGGTGGGAGATTATTTTCAAGGTCCTTCATAGCATTCTTTACCTATTTTTGTCTTCTTTTTCTGTTAGAAGTGCTTTCACATAGTACATTTCCTTCCTCCAACATGAGGGAGCACAGGGTGGTGGGAAGGGCAGAGGCTGGGATTCGCTGGCTCGCTGAGGCCTGGGACGGGCCACCCTTCTTGGACCTTCAGTTCTGTGTTTGGGCTTCAGCTTCTTGAGCTCAGGAGCCCCCTCTGGGCAACTGCAACGTTGCTGAATTCCCATGAGACTTAATTTCCTAATTTATGTTGGGAAGCTTTGATGTCCCCCTCTTTCCTGGGTTCATGATGGGCCCTGAATGGTTCAGAATCCGGGGAGAAGTTGGGACCAGTTGAACTCAAGTCTGAAGAGCGAGATCAATTGTCCCCGCACCTGGGCGGAGGACACCTCTGTCCTCAGTTTCAAGGACGCCATCCCTGTCTTTCCCTGGATCCAGGTGGACACACACAGGCATTTGTTCTCCTGGGTTCCAGTTCTAGATGAGTTAACACCGTGATTCAGCTGCCGTCCAGTCTCAGCACTCCTGAGCCTGGGAGACACCCTGTCTCTCCCCGGCTCCGTGCCCCACGCCTACCCTGTACCTTGAGGGTGAGGACAGCTGGGCCAGCAGAGGGGCTGTGGTTCCCCCACCTGCCTGGCGCTTGCCGGCACTCAAACAACTGGGCGCGTGGGGGAAGAATGACAAGCCTTGGCAGCTGCCGAGCTACCCAGCGGGGCAGGGAAGGTGGCCAGGTGAGGCTGAGACAGGGTGCGGTGACAGGCCTGGGAGCTCCAAGGCCTGCCCAGACACCTGGCTGGCCCAGGAGAGCTGGGTGTGTTGACAAGTGTGGGCTGACCCAAAGCCAGGCTACTGAGTACCTGGTGAGCACGTATTCGGTGGGCAACTGAGTGAATAAGGGAACGGGGGATGGAAGCCTCAGATTCATGGCCTGCAAGATGCAGATGGTAGCAGGGAGGTCTGGGAATTCAAATGACTTGATACATACAAGGAACTTAGAACAGTTCCAGTAAGTGCTCCAAAATTCCAGGTGTGAGTATTAGGAGCCCAACACGTAGGTTATAGCAGGTTCGGTGTCTGGTTCATCTCTTATCCTCCACATAGCTACAAAAACAACAGACGAGATCAAGATAGCAACAAAAAACACCTCACGCCGAGACTTCATGAAACCCTATGAGGTCAGTGTCATTATCGAGCCCACTTGGTCAATGGGGAAACAGACACGGAGGGTCTGTGATTCACCACGAATAACCAGCTGAGGCTGACACATAGCCAGGAGGTATGGAGTGGCTGCCCAGCAGAGGACCCGGTCCATATGCTGGCTCAGGCAGGGCTGCTTTCTTTCCTTCCTCCACCCTCTCTGGACACCCACCACCTCGGAGAAGCCTGCTGAGGCAGGTTTGAGAATCTGCCTTTCACAGATGGGGAAACATGGCCCCGCAGGTGAGAAGCTGACATTCTTTCCCCACATGGCCTCCACCAGCCTCTGTCCTCACTCCTGAGCCCATGCCCCATTCTCCCCGGAGGTCACCTGGGCCTTTCTTCCTCCAGGAAGACTTCCCTCCCTGACTCTCCTGACTGGGAAGGGAGCACTCTGGCCCTGGGCAGCATTATGGAAGCCCATGGTGTCCCTTCCTTTCTGCATGACTTTGGTGAACCAGAGAGACTGGGAGTTACTTCCTGAAGGTGTTGGCCAAAGCTAGGAGACCACCAAAAGCATTATTTACAGAATGCTTCGTCCAACAGCTATCACTAAGCACCTGCCAAGCATCAGGCATGTGGGCCCCACCACCAAAGAGCCTCAGTCTGGGGGTTCCTTAGCAGGAGGCTTATGTAAGGGGTTGAGTGTAGTGACCTGGGCTGGTACTACAGTGACCCAGAGAGAGGACCCAGGTTTCAGATCTTAAGATCAAAAGAGAATTTTTTTAAATTTTTTTTTTTTTAAGATTTTATTTATTTATT